AACCAGCTGTGCTGCCACCTTGGGAATCCCACTCGCATCGGCCTAGCCACACGAACCAGGCTTCCAGCTGCAAAGTCTAGGTCATAGAGCTCAACTTGCTCTGTTGAGCCCCTTCCTGGTTTTTTTAAACGAGGGACCGCCCAGCTCGGATGCCCTCGGTATGTCCTGTGTGCAACTGTGTGCTCTGTACAACCTGTGTGTCATTCTGTGTGTGATGGGACAGTAAGGTCTTGACATTCGCGATGGGTCAGTGCACAGACCGTCGCAAACTGCCAACTTCACACGTGACCAAGTCCACCCCAAAGCCGTCGCATAATGTACGGCAGAATGTTTCATGTATGGTTACATATACATGCTGCAGCATGTATATTTAACTATACATGTAACGGGTGAGGCTGCACATTGGTGGTGGTAGTGGGATTCCCCATTACCTGTAAAGCACTGTCAGTTAAAAGACATAAGTAACCCTCCCTTGTATGACAACGAGAGATAAATGCTAAAGTACTAATTTACTGGCTTTAAGTTAATTGAAATAACATTCATCGGCTAAAAGACACAACAGTAATCATAAACGTGTAGTAATCAGTGAAAAATAATAATGCACATTTCTGTTTCTCTCTCTGCCTCCGAGATTAGCACACCCCGCTGTAATGAAAACAGGCAACGAAGCTACCGTCCGGGCTGTCTGACAACGTCATCTGCAGCCCGTCGTCCCCACACTGCTGACACAGAGCCTGCAGCGTTCATTACAGTATTACAATAGGACCATGCGGAAATGTGGAGGCAGGGAGCAGGGAGAAGCCCATCCACTCACTAGATTTGTCTCACGATCCTAGTCTATTGTGCAGCAAATTTAAAAGTTGCGGTTAAGACTAACTTGTACTGTTGTTCTGTATTATTGTTTGAGACGTTATGTTTAGGAGCTCTTGAGGGGCAATACAGGTTAATTCAATTCAATATTTCCTTTAAATTAGAGCCTTTGGCTCCGTTTCATCCAGCTTCTTTCGTCAAGACCCCAGACTCGGCCAGACTGAACCGCGACTGAGTGAAT